GAAAGCCTTCCCATTCTGCGGGGAGAGACCCATTTTCATCCATATGGAAATGTCTTTGCTTTTGAGGTCAGCTCCACCTGCAGAGCTCCACTTGTTCCCTCTCTGGAATGTACTTTGCTTTTTTTTAATAAAGGCTTGTGTGTTTGTGAGTGACTGGTGCTTTGTTTAGGAAGTTTGTTGAGCTGCCACTAACACCGCCGCTTCCTGCCATTGATCACTGCTCGCTGGATCACCTGGGGCTACCTGCCTGCGGACTGCTCTGCTCGATCTCAGAGATTCTTCCTGTGAGTAGGGCAGGACCCAGGAGAGGGCTTCTCCGCCTGGATAACAGGCAGTTTCCAGAGAATTTCTACTATTCCCTAACCACTTGCTTCCATAAAACTATTATAAGATATATAATTTCATTTATAGGTACAAATGAATATATAATTCCACTTATCAGGCCTTCCTAATGAATCCCCCAAGGAAAAGCTATGACCTTAGACTTTGAGACAGAGTAAGTATTAGCACACCTGCAGCTGAGTACATTTCCCCTTTTAAATAGATTGGTAATTCAAAAACTAGTTGCTGAAATTCATTTGCCAGTTGGTAGTCTTAGCTCTTGTAGCTAATGACTGCCTTGACTAGTCCATTTATTACATATGGTCTTTTCAAGGGACAAACAGAGAGTCCCAAAATGAGACACAATGGATCCTTCTTCAACTTTAAATCTAGGTGGCTACAGTACAGAAGATATCAAGTTTATCTGTCCTGGTCCAAGGCGGTGGCGGGGGGGGAGTGGTATGTGAAGAGAATTAAGTCACATATAATGCTTACCTTCTCACAGACTAAAATAATACTAGGTTTATTCTAGGAGTATAAGAACATTTTAAAAATAATTATGGGGTCGTGTTGATAAACTGTACTCAAATTATTAAAAACATAAGACACTCTGGGAAAGCAAAAAATTGCATAGTACTTATAAATACATATATATATTTATATATATGTAAACAGAATTAAAAAAGTGTGAAATTAAAATTGAAGACTCAGATAAAAGACATTTAGAACTTATACTTTAAACATGAATTTCAAAAGTAATGGTAGCTAAGCACCAACTTGGGTATGTGTAATTCTCTATTCCCAAGACTCATTCATGTTATGCACACACTAGGTTAACTAGAGTGTTAAGATGTGTGGAAGGTTACAAGAAACACAAGGGCTTAACCATAATGCACAAAATGTCTGAATTAGATAGACAACCACAAATTTACTTTGAATCCTGAAGAAAATAGACTGCCACTCTGTATGTGAACACACCCATTTTGTATGTTAACAGTTCACTGTCTCCTCAATAGCTATTATAAGTTAACCTATAAAAAATAAATATGATTCAAGACTGACTTCTTCAAGTTCGGCTGCACAGTTTCATCAAAAGTTTGCTCATGTTTTCTGCACATATTTTTTTTTTTTGCTAAAGAAATGCTTCAAAATCTTTTAAGAGGATGTTCCATATTAAGAGAATGTAATAAATTGTAATTATTAGTAATTGTGTTACTTTCATAAAGAGGAAAATATAAACATTATTGACATAATAACACAATAAAGTATAATGGGGTTAACCTGTGTACAGTGAAGGAGTAACTTAGAAGGCCCAGATTGTTTGTCTTGTACATTCCAAAGAAATGTACCCCAGATTGGCTTCTTGGAGATAACCACTAAGCACTTAGAATATCCTGTCTCATAAAAGTCTCTTTGCTTATCTAGGGCCTTGTGTAATGCCAGACAGTTTATTCTAACAATGTGATTTATGGTAGTGGCCTTGGGCTACATGTTATCAGTTTGATCTCATGCAGGTGCTCCATGCCTATGTGACTTGATCTACAATAAAAACCCTGGATACCAAGGTTTGGGTGAGCTTTCCTGGTTGGCAATACTTTGTCTATGGTGTCACACACTGTTACTGAGAAAAGTAAGTACTGTCTATACAACTCAACCAGGAGAGAACAACTAGAAGATTGTGCCTGGCCTCTCCTGGACTCTGCTCTATGGTCCTTTCCCTCTGCTGATTTAATCTGTAACTTTTTGCTGTGATAAACTGTAACTGTGAATGTAATAGCTTTTCCAAATTCTGTGAGTCCTTCTAGAGACCCCTAACATAACCTGTAACCACAGATTACTTTCATAATGTATAAAATCCTTACGTTTCCCATATTTCTTTTTACTTAGCAATTTACATAATGTGATTTGATAAAAACTACTTAATAACTATATAAAATACATTTTGTTCCTTACCAAAGAACAACATAAAGAGATTATACTTTTATAGGCTTCCAAATTTGAATGAAGTTAATTTTTTCTAGTTTCCCATCAAATAATAAACTGGAAGAATACAATCAAAAGATAAAAGATTTTTATAATACAGAAGACCAAACTAAGCAAAGGTAATTGTAAAATAGTAATACCTCACTGGCAGACATATTCTTCACCTGCTCTGGTTTTAGTTCTGTAAAATATAAAGTTAGGTAATTTTTAAAAAATGATT